GTAGCCCAGGCTGGCCTCGAACTCACTCCGCCTGACTCTGCCTCCCGAGGGCTGAGATTAAAGGCGTGTGCCACCACTGCCTGGCGCTGTCTCTGAGTCAAGACTGTCTTGACTCCGGGACTGTATGAGTGTCTGGGAACAGGCAGCCAAAGGGTGCTTCCTCCTGGCTACTTCGGTTAAGCCCCGTATGCTGCGGCGTGCACTCATTTTTGTCAGCACACCTGCCAGTAGGTACCCCCAGGGCCCATGATGCCCTCCATACTGTTTCATAAACCTCTATCAGCAAATATGTACCCAGACACAGAAAGCCCGAACTATGTCACCAAGGCCGGAGTCCCACGGTATGAGTCTGTTTCTCCGCTCACTCCCGCCCTTTCTGACTTCCAGGAGCCAGGGCAGTGACTTGGTGACGCCAGAAGTCAGCTGCGTGAATCGTGAATGCTAATTCATAGTTGTAGTTCAAGGTCACTGCCAAGTTAACGTCTGAACTAATGGAGAGGAGGGCGCCACCTCCTGGAGAGAGCCAGCCTGCGGCTCGGCACCCAGCACCCCGCCAGTCCAGCCTGGCTGGAGAGCCGCGTTTATTCTTCCAAACCTCAGCACCCCAGAAAGTGGGCAGGGTCCCTCTGACCTACAGTCCCGTGAGGACAGCTCCAAATTGGCTTTACTGAGTCCCGCTCTATTGAGCGACCCAGGCTAGACCCTCCAGGCCCAGCCAAGAGAGACAGGAAGAGTTCAAGGCCCACAACGCGGAAGCCTAGACCGGAGAGGAGCCGAACATGTCCGAAAAGAGCCGAACAGAGCCCCGTCCTACCGAACAAAGCCTAGCAAAGCTGAATCCAGCCGAGTACGGCCGAGTAGAGCCGAACAGAGTCGATTATTACCGAACCAAAACGAACAGAGTCGGGTACAGCCGGGTGGAATCCGACAGTGGCCGAATAAAGCCGAATCTGAGCGAAGAGGAGGAGCGGTGCTCTGAGGTCCAGCGGCGCCCCCTGGCGGACACAGGGAGCACTGGGCTGACCTGAGCGGGAGTCATCGGGTCACCTTGCAGTCCTGTGACAGTCCTGTAAGATGGGATTGTGGGGTGCACTTCAGGAATGAGGGAACTGAGGCTCCGCCCAGGCCCGAGGCACTCTGAGCTAGGATCTGGAGTTCCCTTGATTGTGTGTGGCCAAGAACACCCCTGCCACTTACAAGCCACATGTAAATCGTTGTGTTTGCCCATTTATTGCAGCCAGAGCCTACAGAGACCTCCCTGGTGGAGGGCTAGCAGAGCTCAGACCCAACCATAGTCTCACAGATGGAGAAACCAAGCCAGCTCCCGAGGTGTTGACCAAGGGCGGTGAGGCGGCAGTTCTCTTGAGCAAATATTGACACATTTCCTGGCCATTAATGCAGCCGGACTGAAAGAGGACATTCTGTCCCTTCTCTGCAAAGCTTTGAAACAGCCTGCCCCCCCACCCCAGGCCTCAGTTTCCCCACCTGCAACAAGACAGTAGCAGAGGATGTGGCCAGGATCCCAGGTACCTGGATCCCTAGGGAGAATGAGGCGCTCTCTGGAGCCAGTGAGAAAGAAAAACTGTACACATGTGCATCCCCGATTCACCCCCCACACCACAGCACTCTGGAGTGCCTGCCCAATGCTGCAGGGTTTGGGGTGCTGGGCCTGTGTGGCCTGGGTATCTCCTTTGCGATATATATACTTCCCAGGGGTATGGTGTGCTACCAGGAAGCTGGCACAAGGTAGTCTCAGAGCACCCCAACCCCTAGCATCACTTTATCCACTTAGCACTGGGGAGGCTGAGGCAGGAGAATGGCCCTGTTCTTGGTCTTCTTCCTGGTCATGATATTGGGCAACAACTGTAACATCCCGGACCTCACCAGAAGGTCTTGCCCATCTGTCCTGTGGACGGAAATACTTCTGAAAACGCTTGTGCAGTACCTGTGGGCGCCAGGCACTGGCCTAAGCTCTGCGAACTTTAACTCGTTCAACGACCTAAGCAACTCCTTCGCCCAGTGGAGAAGAAACTGAGGCCGGGAGAGGCTCATTCACTGGCTCCAGGTCAGATGGCGAGTGAACGGATGAGCTGGGCCTTAAGCACAGGCAGTCTGAGTCCACAGTGTCTACACACTGGCACTCTGCTGTCTCCGCCTTGGCTCCTAGACAAACCATCTGGCCTCTGGGCTGAGTCTTTGGCAGTTAACAGTGCCCGCTCACCACGTGTTGCATGAAGGATGAGCAGGTTGGCTTGGCAGATCTTGTTGGGCCCCCGGGAGGGGAGAGGCCACTAACACCATATGGCAAATGGGCAGTGGTCTTAGCAAGTGCCACAGCTGGGGGCGACAGGAACAAAAGGTTATTGTGTTGGCAGAGGTGGCAGTGCCTGCCTGTTATCCCGGCTCTTGGGAGACTGAGGCAGGATGGCCACGCGGTCCAGGCCAGCCTGCGCTACAAAGGGAGGCTTCACCTTGAAAAAGAGAAAACGAGGGCTAAAGAGATGGCTTAGCTGGTAAAGAGCCCCCTTCACCACGGTGAGGACCTGAGTTCGGATCCCTGGTTAAAAAGCAGCTCATGGTCACACATCCCTGTAGCCCTAACACTGGACAGGGAGAGATCCTGTCTCAAAAGATAAACTTGGAGAGATTGGGAAGACACCCAACATAGCCTTTGGCCTACACACATGTGTGCACTCATGCACATGCGCGTGCACACACACACGGAGATGCACACATACAAGTTTATTATGACCCAGGACCAAGTCATCAGCCTGGTATCTCTTCGGAGGAATATGAGTCTGTTCCAAGCCTCCTCCTGGCTTTGGGGAGTTTGGTGGCACTTTCAATATCCCTGGGCTTGGAGAAGTATCCCTCTGGTCTTTGTGGGAGGCTGGGTTTTTAAGACAGGGGCTCCCTATGTGGTACAACCTGGCCTTGAACTCAGGGTAATGCTCAGCTTCCCAAATGCTGGGGTCACAGGTGTGTGCCACCCCACCCTATCACCCTGACCTTTACTTCTGAGCTGTTCTTGTGGATGTGTGCGTTCAAAGCTCTTTTCCTGGGGACACACATTGTATTGAGCACGACTTCCCTCCCCACTTCCGTCTATAACGACCTTCTTTCCAAAAGAAACAGGTTAAGATTTCCATACAGGGACTGGGAAGGGCATACTCCAGTCCCACCCACCCCCTCCCACCCACCCCACCCCACCACCCCACCCCCACCCCCGTCTCCCAGGAGCTAACTCTCCAGGACACCATGCCTTTACAGCCTCTGCCTCATCATGGGACTTCACCCCTACTCTTTCCTCCCATGATTTTGCTGGCTGCAATGCCTAACTGTGGAGCCTCAACACACACCAGCCCCTCTGTCTGGCACACTCAGCCTCCAACACCTCCCTCTGTGCATACCCACTATGCTCTCCCAGCACACACATATACTCTCCTTCCTCACGGTACCCAAAGGGTAGCGATTCACAAGTGGCCACCTGGGAACATCCAGATGCAGGAGCCATGCCCATGTACCCTAGCCTCCTTCTCTCCATGACAGCCCAGTAGTGGGTTCCAGTCCTCTGGAAAAGAAGCATGCACTCTTTTTAACCTCTCTCCACCTCTCCAGACCCTCTCATGACTTTTAGGTCATACATTCTCCCCACAGCTTTATAATGGACTCCACGAGAGCCTGAGGGTTACCAGTAGCAGGAAGAGCCCTGAGACTTTGTCAAGACCACACTTTGCTCACCTCTAAGAGTTCCCTTGCAACACAGCCTGGGGTCCCTCTACTCAAGACTTTTCTACTCCTGAGGATCTATGGAGCCCAGTTGTCATCTCCCTTTGGGGCAGTGGCCTACATCATCTGCGGGTAAAGAGGGGGTCCCAACAATCGGTAGCCTTGTCCTCCCCAGCCTCAGGCTCTGCAGACTCCAAGCTCTTCTCCCATCATGCTGTTGCTGATGCACAAAGTCCCCATCCAGAAGCTGGTGGCCATGGGCTGTTGCCTGGCAACCACTTCTGAGCGACAAGATCAAGGTAAGTCAGTAACTTCCATTGCCGAAGAGGAGGACAGAGGCAGGCTTGATGGTCACTGCCTTTCTTTCTCTGCTCAGGACTAAATCATAGATTCCAGTCCCCAAACCCCAAAGCAAGCTCCTTCGGTTTCCCTTGCCTGCCCCTCACACCCTTATTTATTCCCAATCACAGCTCCAAAGCAGGCTCCTCCTGTGTGACTGTGGCCCCAGTGGCCCTGTTCACGTCTTCATTCCAGAGACTCATGGGAAGGGCCATAGCTGCCCTGCCAGGCAGGCCCTGGAGATACAGCTGCATCACGCCGGCCCTGTTTTCAGATGCATATAGACACATGCACATGGACTTCAGCATGCCCCAGCAGTGGCTCCCAATGTCGCTAAGTTCAGAGTCATGGGAGCAGCAGAGAAACCCCGGCCCATATGGACACTTCCAGGTAACGCCCAGGCACTGGCTGGCCCATTGCTTGTACCTGCACATACCTGCCTGAGAACACTTTGGACACATGTTTATGGCCATACACTGAACAAAGCCATGCGCTGAACAAAGCTACACACACACACACACTCCTGTGTTATTGTACCTAGACATAGTAGCCACAGAAAGCCTATGCACACTCAGCCTATGCTGCTGTCTGGCCCTTCCCCTCACCACCCTGCCCCTCCCACTACCCCACTGGCCAGATTATATTGTCCATCACACTGCCTCACTTCTGTCTGGCTGGAAAGGTAGACATTGACCAGTCATCACCCCCACAGCCTTGTCTTTGTGGATTGGCCCAGGAGACCGTCATGTGACTTAGTTGTAGTCAATCACCTTTCTGCTTTGAGATTTGCTGTTTGGATAATAATAAGTGTCTGTTGTTTCCGGTGCTGCTCTTCAAGGCTCAAACTCTTAAGGGCATCTATATGACCCTGGAAGGACTATGAAGCCAAATGAAAAGAAGCCACACGATCTGCACACTCACCCATCAGGACGTACAGAGGAAATGGCCCAGTCACTATCTTTATTGACAGGAGCTAGGGTCAGAAGCAGCAAAGATTTCCCAGTTGGCCACCCAACTCCTTTTGCAAGGCACAGCTCCCCTGCCCCACCCAGGAAGGTTAGACTGCTCACTTCTGCCCAAGCTCCTCCTCAGAGGAACCTCAGGGCTGGGCCTCATGCTCCCCACATGCCTGAGTTTGTAAACTTCCTCCTCACAGGGTGGCCTGCATGCTCTCTGACCCTTGGCCTCTGACCTCCTGCATCCCGTTTCTCACGAATACCTTCACCCCAGTAGCTGCCACAGAGATCACTCACAGGCAGGATGTGGGCTGAGCCTGAGTTGGGGGTACCTCCACTTTGTATCCCGTAAGTAGCTCCATCGTGGTGAGCAGTGACTTAGCCAGCATGACTCAGTTTCCTCCTGGATTCCTGGCAAGCTAGGGAACCACATCCACACCATGGTGAGGATACTGAGACCCAGCGGGGGAGGGCCTGGCCAAGCGGCTTGAGGTGAATAGAAGATGCAGGTTTCCCAGCTTCTGGATTTGTGGGTTCCCTGAGGACCCTACCTTTGCAGAGTAGGGTGGGGGTTGAGGCAGAAGCTCCAACCTCTCCAAGGCCAGCTTTGTTGGGACCAAAAGGGCCATCTCTGGGAGGGGGGCAGGGTAGAGCCCTGGCTCAGCCTGGGGCAGTTGCTACTTACTGCCCATGACAGCCTGTTAGCCTCTTTATATTGTCTGGAGCCCTGGGAACACAGAGGATGGGGAGCTCTGACCCCCACCAAGGGCTTACCACCCCTCCCTAGTGTCCTGAGGAGCCAGGCCCACTCCCAGGATCTCTACTGTGGCCCCTCTCCTCAGCTCCGCAGACCATCAAATGCTGCGACTGAGCTTAGCCCAAGGGGCGAAGGTTGGTTCAAGACCACAGCACAGTTCTGTTCCCTCCTCCCTCCTCTCCCCTCCCCTTCTTACTGCCTCTGTTCCCTCTCCTTCATCTTGGCCATCCTCCTCCTCTCTCTCATCCCCTCAGGCTGCCACAGACTCTGCCCTGGGGACAAGGTACCTGACCTAAATAGGGTGAGTCAGGCTGTGGGTGGCCTGAGCCTGTGTGGCATGTGGTCCCTCCCCGAGAAAAGGAATACAAAATTAGAAGCATACGTCAGATGTAGGCCCCAGAGGGGTCCAAATAGTGAGAACCCCTGAAGCTTGGCTTCGTCTGCCTTCTGAAAACATCCTCCCCTCATGTCCAGGAGCACAGGAGACCCAGCACTGAGACACTGGGATGAGGGCCTACAGGACATTGGGCTGTCCAGCAGGAGAGGTAGGAAGCCTAGGCAGGAACAGAGTGGCCGAGGCCACACAGCAGCATGGCAAGGGCTGAGCTGGGTCCTAAGCAGTGGCATCCCACCCTACCGTCTTACACTTCCTCTGGGCTTCAGCCAAGCCCCCGGCTCACCTGCGTCCCTGATTCTCCAAGCCCTGCTGTATCTCCCTGAGGGCCAAGATACAGACCGACACCCAAGATACCTTGTTTCTTGGTCAGCCTGCCCACATCACCTTAACTTGGGCTCGGGAGAGTCCCCCCAGTAACGACACCCTCCAGACCCCTCTTATGACAGGGCCCATTGGGGCCTCATTGTACCCATCCCTGAGTCAAAAGAAGAAAGCAAGGCCCAGAGAGGGCAGAGGACCTGCCAACGGGCACACAGCAGGCCCCAGCACAGAGGGGCAGAACCTAGGCCCCTGAACATTCTGTCATTGGATCCTGAACCTCGGTGGCCCAAGGATGGCCAGGACAGTGGTGTCAATGAAGTCGCGTAAGCTGCTGCTTGCTCAGATCACTGCATGTAGCTGGTACTCAGGTCCCTAGGCCGGGCACAGCCTCTGCCTTTCTCTGGGCCATTGCTGGTCCTTTGAAGTCCTTACAGGTGGCTCAGGGTGCTAGGCTTGTCCCCAGCTGCCGCCTCCTGGGGTAGAAGCTGCTGCTCCTTGGCAGATCCTGTGCTGGGCTCCTGTCCACTGGTGCCAGGCTGTGCGATCTGACTGACCCTTCCGTTCATCTCCTTCCTTCTCTGAGCCCTCCTCTCCTCCTCCTCTCGTCTCTCCTCTTCCTCTTCTTCCTCCTCCTCCTCCTCCTCAGTCTTCTCTGGAGGGCCGGACCCTGGCTCCTGGCTCCGTACACGACGGGACGGTCTCAGCAGGACCCTGCGGAAGCCCTGCTTGAAGCGGTAGGAGAGGAAGCCGTAGAGGATGGGGTTGGCACAGCTGTTGGCGTAGGGCAGTGCCACCACCAGGAAGTAGAGGCCGAAGAAGGCGGGCTCCTCGGGCAGCGGGCACACCACGTTGATGATGTTGAGCAAATAGAAGGGCATCCAGCAGAGGACGAAGAGCGCCACCACAGCCACCACCATGCGCGTGACCCGGCGCTCAGAACGCCGCCGCCGCTGGCAAGAAGGTGCCTGCACCCACTGGCAAGATGGCGCGCGCACGCGCCGCGTGGTCGACCGCACCTTCACCACAATGAGCAGGTAACATAGGCAGATGACCAGCAGGGGCCCAAAGAAGCCCAGTGCAGCCGTGTAGATGATGAAGGCTGCTCGCCAAGCAGCCGCTGGCTCTGGCCATTGCATGTGGCATGTGCTCATGCCCCGGGGCACTCCTGAGAAGACGACCACAGGCAGCACCACCACAGCCGAGGCCACCCAGACGGCCGCACTGACTGTGCGGGCCACGGGTGCCGTGCGCCAGCGGGCCGAGCGTGTGGGGTGCACCACGGCCAGGTAGCGGTCCACGCTCATGACGGTGAGGCAGAAGATGCTGGTGAACTGGTTGATGCCATCCACGGCCATGACCAGACGGCACATGAGCGAGCCAAAGGGCCAGTAGGACAGTGCATTCTGCGCAGCCAGGAAGGGCAGCCCTAGCATGAAGAGCTCATCAGCCAGGGCCAGGTTGAGGATATAGACACTGGTCACTGATGGACTGGTTGTGTGCCGCAGGACCACGTAGATCACCAGCGAGTTGCCCAGCAGACCCACCACGCACACCACCAGGTACACCAGAGAGATCAAGATGCCGCTGACAGCCAGGCCTGCCAGACTCTCACCGGCAGATGCGTTCCCCAGGGTAGCGTCCAGGGGCCAGGCTGAGGATGTGTTCCCAGGGTCCAAGGTTGTGGGCACTGATGAAGAATAGGCAGCCGTGGCCATGGCCAATGAGAGGCCGGTCAGCAATCAATTACTCCTGGCCTACGGGAGGGGGGAGGGAGAACACAGCTTAGTTGTGTCAGAGAATCCTTCCTCTGTGCCACTCGACCACTGCTACCTTGAATTTGGAGACCTACTATGTGACAGCTCAGAGCTGGAGGAGCATCTTGTGCTCTGCACAGACCAGTAAGGTGAGGGATGCTATTCCTATTTCTCAGACGAGACTTCAAGTCCTCCCAACTCCAGATAAAATAAATAGGTGTGTCGTTTCTAGCAGAGCCCAAAGCTTTCCTCAGATCTCTAATTCCAAACAGGATGGCAATGAGCTGATGGTGTCTCCTCTCCTGGAAGTCGTCAGCACCTCTCTAACCCCGGCCATCACATGGGGTCCTCTACCTAAAGCCCTGCCTGGAGGGATGACTGTAAATGTAAGAATGGGTGCCTGGACCCCTTCTCCGTCCAGACAAACAGGTGATGAGAAGTCTCCAAGGCATCTGGAAGCTACATTCCCCCAGCTGCAGGGCTATGGGTCCTGGGCTGAGCAGGAGGGGGCACCAGCTGGCAGGAACAGACATTCCCTGGCACTTGGTGAGGTCCTTTTATCCCGACTCTGTGCCTGGGCTTTGAGGACTCTGCTGGGCTCCCCTGCTGGACTCAGCTCTCCTGCATCACTGAGATTCATGCAACCCTGGACCGTTTTCCACTGTCCCCCCAGCTCTCCCTTCACTCCATCACATCCTGCACCAATGAGTGAGGCATCAGATGAGTCAGAGGAGCCCAGAGTGGGCAGCCTTGTGAAGGAGTGGGCTGCAGAGTGGGGACTGGAGGAAGGGAACCCCTCAGGCCTGCTCAGCAGGTTGTTGCTTCTGGAACTCCCGGGTAAGAGGCTAAGGGCAGCCCCTCCCATGAGCCTGACCCTCTGCCCCATCTTTTTCCAGCCCATGGACCTTTCTGCCTGCCCCTACCAGTTCCCTTGGATCCTGGATCCTGAGTGCTTCCAACTCTACCCTGCAGAGCGGAGTGAAGGGGAAGTCTCTAAGCTAAGAAGCTATCCTTCTCAGATCTGTGTTGCCACCTCCCCTGGTCTGGACCCCTCCTCTAGAAACTGAGAGTGCTTCGGGTATCCCGATGAGGCTCTGGAAGTAGCAGGCTCCTGGGAAGGGGAAGCCCCCATCTCCCAGCATGCTCCTGAGTAGGGAGCATACAACAGCACCAAGTGCCAGGATGGTGATGCCAAGGATGGCAAAGGATCCCTGGCAGAGTGCCAAGGCTCTTCTCTGCCACACTCCCGATTGGCTAGGCTTTCCGCAGCCTCCAAGCTCCTGGCTGGGAGGGAGCCCCCAACTGGTTCTCAACCTGCTACATCCTCAGCTCTCTTGAGCTGGGTCTGATGAATCTGGGCAGTGAGCTGTGGGATCCTGAAATGTCTTCACAGAGCTGGCTGTTCCTTGCTGAGCCCAGACCCCAGAAGACTTCAGGAAAAGCTGGTGTCTCAGAACTGTGCCAGAACACAAAGTGTTCCTGCTGTCCTCACCAACTGGCCAGGAGGAGCTAAGGGGAGCCACAACCAGGAAGGAGCATGTATAGGAGTACCTGTGACCTGTCACCCTATTTTACAGGCTGGCAGACTGAGGCTAGGCTAGCACAGGCCCCTACGGTACGGTGCTGGTCTCACTATCCTGCTGGCCTAGGCAGAGCTTGCCTGGCTGGTGTCTGTGCTCTTGAACTCTGGACCATGGGCCCAAAGCCTCAGACCCACAGGAGCCTAGAGATGGCAATTTAAATTCTTGGGACATAGCCGTGGATCCCAGAGTCAGGTTTTCAGGCCCTGTGACTTTTAATCAGAGAATGTCGCAGCTCCAGACAGCTGGAGTCGACCATCCCAGGCCAGGAACTGTGAGTTCTAGGACCTTACACTTTTGCTCCCAGGGTGGAGGTGGGGCACTCTCTGTCACCCGGCCACCCTGCCTACCTGCTTTACACAGTGCCTTTTTCTAGCTTTCCCGCAGACTGGCCAATCAAAGACACTCAGGACTGCAGGAGAAAGGAGAGCGCCAGGCACAGAGAATTGCTGAGATCCAGGCAGACCTCATTTCCAGACTTCCAGCACGGATGCCCTCGGGGAAGCCCAGGGTGTGCTCCAAGCATGGCCCCTCCAGCCCCACACACGCGAGCACACACACACACACACACACACACACACACACACACACACACACACACAGGAACACAGCTACCCAGCCAGACCCTCCTTAGACTCAGGGGTGGAGCATCACCTCCTGGTACCCTGGCCTCCCTCCAAGACACCCTCCTTGCTGTCAGAGCTGACAGGCCAGGCAGGTGCCAGAACACGGAAATCACATCTTTTCACCCGGGGAAGACAGACCTGCAATTTCAATGCCGTCTTTTCTTTAAGGATCTGGAATCCTGTGCCTGATCTAATTCCTCCTTGGAAGGGAGGGAGGGACTTTGCCTCCCTGTCTGGTTTATCTTTGGCACAAGCTTGCCTGAAAGCTGGGGGTGGAATCTCCTCAGGGGACTGTTCAGGAGGGGAGAGACACACAGAGAGGGTGAGTTACCGCTCCCAAGCCCCACAGCAACTAAGGATGGCCCCTCGGGCATGCAAGACGCCCCCATTGCTCTCATTTCCCTCTCATTCAACGCCCACTCCCTCCAAAGTGCTTTCGCTCAACACCTAGCCTAGCACCCAGAACTCAGTAAGTACTAACAGAAACAAGCCTGTTAGAACGTAGAACTCCAAAGTGCAAGGACGTTCCTGGGCCGAGGCTTTAAATTCACACCCCGAGACCCTAGCAGAGCCCAGAAAGGAGGGATGAGGGAAGAAGTTGAACCTCAGAGAGATGTAGCGGCTTCTGCAAGGTTACCCAAATGGTGAGTGAGAAAACAGATTCAAAACAGATTCTGTCTACTGGACCTTAAAGTCCTCCGGCTGGGAGTTGTCAAAAGTCAATGCAAGCTGAGGACCCCTGGCTGGCTCTGCCATCTGCCTGTCCTCTGCACCCCTGGCCCTTCCTCCAAAGAGGCTGGGGTTTTGTGAGTTAACGGTGACTGACAGAAGCCCTAGGCTGGGGGCCTAACTCCCAGGAGCACCCCCTCAAGCCCTGAGCAGGGGACTTGGGTTCTGCTGATGGCAAACTACTCTGTGACCTTGGATAAGTCCCTTCTCTCTGGTTCTAGTCTCCTCCTCCAATGGAGACATGCATACCCACCTCGCAGGGTTGCTGCATGGCAGATGCTCCACTCCCAGCAGGAAGGGGCACTCACGAGTGCCACCAAGCAGGCCCAGACAGCAGCGTGCATCTGGTTTGGTCCGGTTCTGACATTCTGCTGTATGGAGGCTCCAAGATTCTGGAATGATGGCACAAGTTGCCGAGATTAATAGCCCTTCCTACCTTACACCCACACCGAGCTCACCAAAAAGCCTCCCTCATTGCTGTTTGGATCTCTCTACTCTGCTAGCCCTAGACTCAGCCCTAAATTCAACTTGGTCAGAGAAAGCGCTCAGGTATCCCACCCTCCAAGATCTCCTTGAGCCCAGCCTCCTTACCTGCCTGCCCACAGGGCAAGAGCTCCCTTTTGTAGTCACGAGGCCGGGTAACATCCTGCAGCCAGGCACCACTAGAGTACAACCAGCTGGGGTCCCATACGGTGCCCACACCTCCAGCGCTCGTGGGCTCAGGCCCTTCCTAGGCCCTCGGCGACCACGTCAGCCCACATTGTCCCTCCCAGCTGGTCCCCAGCCTGACTTCTCACCTGCACCTTGTCTGTCATCCCCCATCTCCAGGACTCTGTGGAGGATGCAGGACACAGAATGGGGTCTTCAGACAGCACCCAGTGGGGGGTGGCAGGAGTCACTTCCCAAGGTGATGGGAATGTGAAGAGAGCAGGGGACATAAGAAGCCAATAGGAAATAAGGAAAGGAGGGGGGTCGGAGGTGGAGAGAGAGGAGAGGGAGAGGAGACAGCGTGTGGGTGGAAAGGCAGAATGAGGGGGAGTGAGGAGAGATGCCTGGCGAGGAGCAGGGACAGAGGAGGAGAGAGGAGAGAAGAGAACGGACCGACGGAGGAACAGGGAGAGATGCAGAGAAAGGCAGGGACAGAGGGAGGCAGGAGGAAGGAGAAAGAGGGGGTGGTAGGGACAGTGACAGAGAAGGATTGTGCCACAGATGGTGACATGGAGAGCCAGCAGAGGGGGGGAGCAGGAGGGTGCGGGAGGGGCCAGGAGGAGGGGCTGAGGGCCGGACAGTAGGTACCAGACTGAGGGGCAGCAGGTTAGGGGCGGAGGCCGGGAGAGGGAGAGGCAGATCCCGTTACCGAGGAGATTTCAGCCACCCACGCTGGCCTTGGCTCCCGCAGGGACTTGAACAAAAGAGGGGAGCAGCGGAGACGGGGAGCTGGCTGCCAGAGGCAGGATAGCCCCAGAACCCCAGGACGTACTTCTCCGTGAGGAAGGGGGCTGCGCAGCGGGATGAGGAGGGAGAAGGCAGGATGGGCACCGAGATGTAGGCTCCGAACCCACATCTCTCCCGTTGAGAATCCCAAGGGCAGGGAGACAGGTCCGGAAGAAGGCAGATAGGGACTGTGATCTGGGGGTCAGTTGGATCTGGACAGAGGAGCCCAGAGATGGGATAGGAAGTAGGTATTTTGGCTTTTGAGAACCAAGAGCCCAAAGTCAAAGATACACGGTGAGAAAACAAATTCCCCCTCTTCAAACTGATACAATTTGAAATGTAACAACCACACTTGAAGGCCATTGTTCATAACACACCAACTAACGAGCTCCCTGGGAGGGGAATACTTGGCTTTGCTGAGGCATAAGAGTGGTGGTCCCCAACATCAGATTGGTCACAGGTGCCCACCTACATAAGCCATTCACTCTTGACTGGTGAGCTGGACAGACCCCAGTAGTAAACAGTGACTATCTGTGGCCAATGCTGGTCTAAAGTGGACGCGAGCTCTGAACAGCTCTGCATGTGTCCTCAGAGTCCAGGGTTGTCTTTCTCTGTTCACAGTCCTCTGTGACTCTTCAGTACAGTCACCCACAGCCTACTCCGCCTGCTGCCTGCTACCTGCAACTTCCCTTTGGCTCCCTAAACTGAGCTCATCAACTTCATTCATTCATTCATTCACTTGTCCATTCATCCTCAGACCTTGTTGCCTCCAGTTTTGTTCCGGTCTCTAAGGAGGAAAGGGATGAGGCTAGCCCTGAGCAGACAGTCCACACCCCATCACTAAAGATTAAGTTCAACTTTCCAACCTTGGCTGGAACTAAGGAAACAGGGCAGAGATGGGACTAGGAACGATGAGGGTGGGTGAGGAGCTGGCTTTTCACCAAGCAAGGATCTAGGCAGGGCAGTCACAGCCAAACCTTGGGGTACTTACGGTCGGTCAGCTTGGGATCTGTCCTCTCAAACTCGATGAGCCAGGAGCTTCTGAGAATGGAAGAGAGGGTCTGTGCCTTGATTTAGATTTCCACAGTTCATTCACTGCTGCACTGAGTCATATCCAGGGCAAGGATGGGAGCAGGAGGCCAGTCAGGAACCTCAGGGTCTTCACACAGGCTGCACCAGCAGCTGAAATACTGGTTTTACCCTATTCCCATGTGTGGGACAAATGATCATCAGGTTGACAGTTCTCACCCAGGACAGGGAATCTCACTCCTCGGATTTCCAAAGTCTGTCCTCACAGCCGTGATGTACTTCATGATGACTCTTCTGGGGATGGGGCATGAATGTTTTCTGTATTGGGCTGTCAGTTCCCCCCAGGGCAAACTCTAGCCATGTCTTCAAGGTGACCCTGGACTGGCACCAGCCTGGTGCACAGTAGGCATTCATCCCATGACTGGTGAAAGAAGATGGAAGATGGATGCATGTATGCATTCATGGACACGTGGATGAATGGATGGATGCATGTATGGAGGCATGAATGGATAGATGATAGGTGGATACAAGGATAGATGGGTGGATGGATAGATGATGGGTGGATACAAGAATGGATGGATAGATAGATGGTGGGTGGGTACAAGAATGGATAGATGGATGGATGGATGGATGGATGGATGGATGGATGGATGGGTGGATGGGTGGATGGATGGATGGGTGGATGGATGGTTAGATGGTTGGATGGATGGATGGATGGATGCACTCACAGAGTTCATGGGTGGGTGGATGGGGAGATGAATGGATAGTGTGTAGCAGAAAGATAAGAAGGGGTACCTGTTTCCTGAGGGTACATTGGAAGCAAGAGAGGGGGTAAAAGGTGTCCTACATAGAAGACTGGGGTCAACTCTTCTCTAGGAGACGTCTGCCAGTAAAAGTGACCTGGGGCTTCTGTTGAGCCCTTTCGCTGATGAGCTAGGAGAGAGAGGAAAGTACAAGTCCATGCCTAGAGTTCTGGGAGCAGGGAACACTGGGACCCCACAGGGACCCCAGAGGGACTCCAGAGGGATAGTCTTGCTCTATAGGGTTGAGGTTCTAGAAGCCGGTGGCTCAAATCCCAAATCCCTGATCCCAGGCTGGACCTGACACCCAGGGTTGTCAGGCTGTCTAGGTACCTGGCCGGCTTTCCCATAGAGACGACAGTGCCGGACACCCACGTGCTCTTGGCCTTGGCAAAAACCGTGGTGGTGTCTCCCCCCTCACACTAGAGGGCTCCATGGCCAGCAACAGTGCCTCCGCCATCAGGCAAGAGCCCAGATCCAGGCTCCTCCCCTCCCTGGGTGTCAGAGAAAATCCTCCCCTCTCCTCCCCAACAGGTGCCTAGACAGGAGCTGGCCATGGACCCAAGGAGTTACCTAGCTACTGAAACAGGCCAGTCTTCTAAAAGACGAGATGCCTTCCTGGCCCCTTCTCTGGAACTTTCTCACTAATGTCCCCATCAAGGGTGTCTTTGGGTTTGACACCCCCTGCTGGCTCCTCCTCAGCTTTGCCTATGTACTGGCTGTGTGACCTCAAATATGTGACCAACCACCCCTGAGATTCATCTTCAGCTCCCGTGTCCCGGGGTTATGCAGGTAACAGGCTGAGCCACTCCCCGCCCCCCAAGCCTGTGGCAGTTCCTGGGCATCACTCACTTCTGACTTCTGAGTTCCTGCATGGAGGGGGGACCTGAGGACACTGGACAGAGGGGTTCCAGTCCCAGCTCTGTCCCCAGCCACATGACTGCAAAACCCCTCTTGGAACATCAGTGTTCTGCAGCAGTGGAGGCCACCTCACCTCCTGGCTGCAGGGGATCTGACCCTGGCTGGCCGGAAACGGAGGAGAGGCTCATGGGATAGCCTCGCACTAGCTTCATCTCTTCAGCTTTGAGCTTTCTCTCCTCCTTCTCTCTCTCTCTTCCTCTCCTCTCCTCTCCTCCTCTTTCTCTCTCCCCCTCTCTCTTTCCTCTCTCTCTTCTTCTCTTTCTCCTCTCTCTCTGTCTCTCTCTCCTCTGTCTCTTTCTGTCTCTTTCTCTCCTCTCTTTGTCTCTCCCCCTCTCTATCTCTCTCTTCCTTCTCTCTCTGTCTCTCTTTCTGTCTCTCTCTGCATATCTCCTCTCTCTCCTCTCTTCTCACCTCCTCCTCTCCTCTTTTCTCTCTCCTGTCTGTCTGTCTGTCTGTCTGTCTCTCTCTCTCACACCTGGCTGACTCTTCGGCATCCTCCTCACCAGCTCCCCCCCACCCCCCACCCCGGTGTTGCTTTTTCACGTTGACTCCTAACTAAAGGTACTTGAGAATCAAGGACACCGTGACCTTCTTCCCTTCTCCCTTTGAAAGCAGGGGCTGAAGGCCACGAGAGGCGCCTCCCAGCACCAGGAGGATGGGAACCAGCTGGTTACCAGGCAGGGCTGGGGAGGGGAGGGTCTGCAGAGCACGCCTTCTATTTAACCCTCACCTTCCCACGAGACAGCTGCCACGCTCTCTACCCAGCCCGTGAGCACTTGTACTCCGTTGCCCGTGAGGGAAGTGAGATGGGGGGCGCTCCCATACCGTGCCTATTAATACCACTCACATGCCTTTCTCCCATGAATCTGTCCTGTGTCCATTTCATTCTTGGCGTGCCCAAAGACCCTTAGACAGCTGAGCGGAATCAACCTGCTCAAGAGGAACCGGGAATCTATTAAAATGCTGAGTCACAGTCTGACTCCTCAAGACTCTCGGGGCCACCTGTCACTCACTGAACAAGCCCCTGCGACCGTGTTTAGTGTTAACCTGCCTCTACCGACCTACACTTCCACTTTACCCCTCCTCTTCTTACCAGCACACCATCAGTGCCGCCTGAACCTCAGGAGGGCCCTGGGCCCTTTGCCCAGGCTGCTCCCCTGTCTCCCCTTCCCTTCCCTTCCCTTCCAGCAGGCTCAGACATTGCCTGCTCTGAGGCACGCTTCCTCCCCTGGGCCTCCTTTTCGTCTATAATGCAATTATTTTTCATTTCTGATTTGCTCTTGTGTTCTTCAAGCGTTATTTGCAAACATGTTTCTGAGTCCTGTTGTGCTAAAAGGTTTTAAATGATAAAATACAGCCATCCTCCAGTGGCCCTTTTCCCCTCCCCAGGACGTCTCAGAGGCAGCACTGACCTTTAGTTGTGTTTAAATACCACACTCCTGAAGCATCGATCTCTCTCTCTCCAACCCCTCCCCACCAACACACACGTTGTGGTTTTGAGATAGGGTCTTACTATGGAGCCCAAATTAATGTTGCATCCTCCTGCCCCAACCTTCCAAGTTTGGGGCTCCTAAGTGTGGGTCACCCCACACAACAGAGATTTTTTTTTTTTAGTGTACTTTTTGCATATGAGTTTGTGCCTGAATGTGACTGTGCATGACTGATACCAAAGGGGGTCAGAAGAGAGCACCAGATGGTTGTTAGCCACCGTGTGTGTGTGTGTGTGTGTGTGTGTGTGTGTGTGTGTGTGTGTGTGTATGTGTGTGTGTTGGGAACCAAACCCCAGTCCTCTGGTAGAGCAGCCATTGCTCTTAACCACTGAGCCATCTCTCCAGGCCCCTGTGCAGCAGAAATCTTGATTTCCTGTTCTCATTCTTCCCACCCTCTCAGCGTTCTTCGCGCTTTCACTCGCTTACTCCAAAACAAAAACCTTGTTATTCTGGGGCTCAGCATTTCCACATGACCCTACCATGCCCCAAAAGCCCTGCATCGGAACCCACAGTGTCCAGCTCCAGTGAGAATTTTCTTAGAGACCACCGAGATGCTCTCCTCGGTGATAGCTGTCCCCTGGGCTGACACCCTGGGACCATGTCTTCATCAGAGATTGGGTTGCGGCAGCTTTTCCCCGGGTTCTGTCTGCATTCTGGCGTCCCTGGCTTTCTCTCTGGCGATTCATTCTCTCACTTAGGAGGAGTGTAGCTCTGGAAGGTGTGCATGCCGGGAACAGTTCATGCCTTACATTCACGGACTGCAGGGGTGGGTGTTGCATTGGAGGCTGACCATTGCT